TATATTCTTCTCACTGCAACAAACTATGTGCCTGTAATTTTAAAGCACTCTGTAGAGGGCTCTTGCAACTAATTTTTTTTTTTTAATTGATGTGCACTCTTCTTTCGTACATTTGTTGAGTGCTTGTTTAGACAGCACAAATAAGTGCAGAGAGTGCATTTCCTAGCCTTAATATGGGAGGGGTAATTTCCTGTAGTTCATAGGCTTTTATTATTGTGCATAAATATTAAAGACCTCATTTACTAATCAGTTTATGTCTTTGAATATCTACAGCTGATGTTTTTCAGTCATCCTTATTCATCTGATCTTAGTGTCCAGTGTCATGCTTACTCAACAGTGACTTCAAAGAGATAATTAAAAGAAAAGGAGGATAAAATAGAAAAATTTGCTATATAATGAGTTCATTTGTTTGTTATTTGCATTTGGTATTAGTGCTTGCAATTGTACTGGAAATCAAAAGCTGTTTTTTAAAAGCATACATAGTTACAAAGGATGCCATTATTTTATTTCATGTAATTTAAAAAAAAGGATATGCTAAAAAAATTTGCACAGCACTAAAGCATGAGGTAGTTTCATCTAAACTTGTAAAAATTATATAAAGATTTTATATTTTTTCCTCTAGGGAGAAATCTTCCTGGTTGAAAGTACAAATGTGTAGAATATATTTAATTAAAAAAAACTTATAAAAACATGGCTATAGAACATAAGTATAGATTGGCGTGTAGAATAATACAACAATAAACCATATAAATAGATCTAGGCTTTTAAAGATGCAGATTGACATTGTGTTCTGTATTTGAATCCATAGCCCTTACAAATGTTCCGTGTTTTGAATGATCTTCAGTTAAATGTAATCAGGTTATTTTATTCAATGTTACTGCTTTGACAAAATGCTTTATATGCAGTAGACCTACAAAGATATTGTTCATAATGATCAAATTAAATTTGTATAGAGCAGAGTTTTAAACAAATTGTAAATAGCACTAAACATTTTCCTTCTGCAACCTGTACTGATAGATTCTTCTGTAAACTAAATAAAACAAGAATATTGTAGTGGACCTGGTTGTGATTTCGGGACCTTGATCTAACCTGCATCAATATTTTAGTTAGTTCAATTGTATGAGAGTTCTCCTAGCTCTCTTTTTTTAATTATTAAATTATTAGGTTTGGAATACCAGGAGCGATGTGAGGCTTACACTTCAATTTGAGTTCATCATATTTGTTTCATTTTTACCAACCTTTTGTTTGGGAGCTCAAGGTGATGCACATTCAAGTCTCCTCTCCCATTGGTTTCTGTAACAAGCCACTATGATGTCAAAATGACAACATCTGTCATCACATTGTGCAGATAATGTAATGATGTGCTTGTTTTATGACATCTGATACAAGTTGCATGCATCATTTGTATAATGCCATGTCATGAGTTGCCCCTTACCCCAAGGAATCCCATGACCACCTTATTTTATCTTCTTAACAGCAACAATTTCATCTGCACAAAGTCACCTACTGAGTTTGAGTACTGTAGTTGGGTAGGGGTTTCAATCTTTATTTCCTCAATCCCAGTTCAGCTTCTTAATAATTACACCTCATTTGCTTATTCTCCACATAGTTTTGACCAAAGAACAACCATCATTTCTCATTTTCACATCATATCTGAACATTTTAGAAATTAATCTGACATAGCAAAGAGAGGGCCCAGAGTAGTGAAATACAAAACCCCATCCCCACCAGCACTGGCAAAGCATGCCACAGTATATAAATAGAGAGCAAACGCCATCCCATTTTAGCAC